CCACCAAGCTGCAGGAGAGACCAGCCCCGACGATATCCAACCCAAACCTTATGTCAACCTCCAGGAAGCGGCATACAAGCTAGCGCAAGAGCGCTTGTCGAAACTTCATGTGGAGCATCACCAGAACCGTGACTACCAGGAATACTATGGCAGCAATACCCAGACCACGCCTCAGCGGAGGTTTACTATGAAGGGTAAGCTTAGACGGCGGTCCTCAAGCGACGGCGACGCAAGTCACGACAAGGAACAATCTGAGCGTATTCGAAGAGAAATGTCCATCTTCTCCTCCAACTTGACCAAGGTTGACGAGCAAAAGCGGACAAAGGATCGCGAGGCCCTACTAGCAGCCGCCCAACGCAACGTCAAGGCCCGCCTACAGGGCATGGACGATAAGATCTCAGCCGAGACCGGTATGGTGGCGCCCAGCTCAAAGAGCGATCGAAAGAGCGACTGGGAATCCAAGGCTCAGATGGCTGCCATGGCTAAGCACGAGTCTGCCAATGTGAATAGGGGTAAGGTTGACATTGGCGGCGGCATGTTTATGGATCCTGCGGCAGTCGACGAGATTGCTACGAGGAGAGTCCAGCCTGTGCTTGACGAGATCAATGAGAAGGCAGCCATCGAGCGGGAACGGCAAGAGATGCTCAAAGCAGAGGCGGAAGCCAAGAAGAGAGACGAAGAGAAGCGCAAGGAACGTGACAGAGAAGTTAAGGAGATCAACCGTAAGGTCATTGGTACGTTTGCGTGTTCCCTTCTGCGCATCAAACTGCCTCTAACGTAATCACAGCGCAAGAGAAGCAGGAAGAAAAGGAGAAGCGCTACCGTGAGAAGCAAGAGCTCAAGGTCAAGAAAGAAGAGGAAAAGGCTGCCAAGGCTGAGGAGAAGCGCAAGTCCAAGCTCCCCGAGATCACGCCGGGCGACTCGGCCGTCGCCGCCGCAGAGCCTAGCGAAATCTCACCCGTGAGCGACGACCAGGGCACCGCCCACGCAGGCCAGCACAAGCCCGGGGCCATCAACACGAACAGGGAGAGCTCCGGCAGCGATAACCCACGCTCGCCCAGCGACAGCGGTTCGCCGACGAACAAGATGAAGACTTGGCTCAAGTCACGCTTCGGACGGCCGCGAGGCCGGTCTGCGGCCGGCGAGAATGCTGAGGAGCGTGGCTTCGTCGGCGGCGTTGCGCTGGCAAGGCTCGCCAACGAGAGCGCAACCAGTCTTGGTGATGCGCGGTCGGCTAGTATGAGAGAGGTAGCCATCGCCGGCAAGACTAGCGAGACGATGCCCAGGTCGGCAGCGGCGCAGGAGGGTGAGGTGAGCCCCGTGAGCTCTGATTCCGAGTCGGAGCACTTCGTCGAGGCGAGCGATGAGCTCGAGGGCCCCGTCTCGCCGCCGGCTGCTATTCGGGATCCGAATACGCACAAGACGCACAGCCCGACTAGGGATTCGCGGTTCCGAGAGAATCTTGAATAGATTGAGATAGATTGGTACTTTCGGTAACGAAAGGCCATTCCTTCATTTAGAAATGATGGCGTTTATGGATGGAACTTACTTACCCTGGAGGCACACTTCAGTTTGGCAGAGGGAGGGAAAGGGGTTTGTAGCGAGGAGCTTTGGAGTGTATTTTTGGTTGAGGCATCCCCAACGTACAGATATAACATCGCTTCCCGATTGTTGTATGTTTATCAGCATTTATAGTACTTTACGTCAAATCAACGAAAATCATCTCTAAAGGCGCCATGGCTCACAGTTATAAAGGCTCTAACATCTCAAATGTAAGGCTACTTAGCAACGGTCGTATTTAACCTATAATGTTGTCGTCTAGCGGGCTTTAAGCTGATCATGGCGGGCGAGCAGCTTCCTGTCTATGCTCTGCGCTTGAAGCGCCTGGACTATCCTCTCATTCGATATTGAGATGGGATGAAAGGGACAGGTATGGGTACGTACGGAAGTAGATTCATGGCGGCCAATATGGAAATTGACCTTTCCACTGCATCACTGAACATGGTAATAGAAGGTCGGCGATGTTGTATCGCACGTATGCAGTGGATTTGTAAATGCTACCCGTAATTCTAAGATGTGCGTCAAATGATTACGCCCAAAACGCCTGCTGTTCATCATCTTTGTCCCCTGGGTATGCAGATGCCAGTTTATACAACGCGAGCCTCGTCATGCCCGCGATTACTCCTCCCGCTGATTCATCATCTATCTTCTCTTTTCTTTCAATCGTGTCCTATTTCCCATTTCATTCCCATTACCACATAACTCTTCATACCTCACTCTTTAAAAGTTCCCCGGTCCAGCGCCAGTCCATTGACTCATCCCCGGCTTCGAGAACCGGTTCGCCTTATTCCTCGTCTTGGATGCGGGCAACAAGTCGACGGTAAACGAAAAGATGTAAAACGAAAAGATGAAGGCGACGATCCACTCAAGGATCGCGGCGGCGTTGTAAATCTCCTTAAAGTTGCAGACAATAAACGCGATGGCGAGGACAATCTCAACGAGGATGAAGACGAGCTTGATCCAGAAGGAGGCGGCGAGGTACGTGTGGTCCGGGTACTTGATGCCCAGGCGCTGGTACTCCCAGCAAATAAAGATGGCCGAGAGCAGGTACCCGCCCATGAAGAAGAGCAGGAAGAGCAGGTGGAGGTTCTTGTGCCGGTAGGTGTCAAAGATGCTGAGACAAATAAGGCCGACGGTGCCGACGATGGCGAAGAAGATTGTGAAGCCGTAGAGAATCTTTTCGCCGATGGAGGTGTTGGGCACGAGGCGGCCCTTGTGGCGGAGCCAGCGGTCGGAGAAGAAGGAGAGGTCGAGGAAGACGGTGGTGAGGACGCAGCCGGTGATGAAGAGGGGCTTGAGGTAGTAGGCGCCGACGTCGCTGATGTAGGCGATGCTCTGGGGCGGCGACATGGAGGGGTAGATTGCGCGATGGGTGTCGATGATCCAGTAGAGGAGCATGCCGAGGAGCATGCCGAGCCAGACGAGGCCCGATATGATGGGGAAGATCCAGTATGATAATATTCTCATGTTGGGCAAGTGTGTGTATGTGTCTGCCTTGGTGTTTGGGATTTTGTCTTTCTGTGAAGGCGTAAGCTTGTGTTGCCAAGTATTCACGATGGTGTTGAGCCAAAGGAGGCTGTTCGCTGAGGGTACAGTTGGCGTACTACACTCAGGCTCACGACGCCAATTGGGAGTGATGATGACGAGGTATGACGATTGAAGGGAAAAGTGGACTCAAAATTGCATCACTTACCAAAAAAGCATGTGTTCACTATCGCAAACGTTGTTCGTGGCAGAGCCTGAAGGGATCACGAGACTTTGGGCTGAAGGTGTGAAGAAAAAAAAAACAGGACTCGAATAGGAGGTCTGACCACGTTTGGTAGGTATTATGTCGTTGGTTGTAAGTCTCATACCCGAAAGGGAGCGCGCGGGAGGGGTCCTTAATGAATGTTGCGCGGGAGATGCCTGCGTACGTCAAACATCGGGCGGTGCCTGGAGAAAAGAGAGCAGAATGGACTGAGGTGTGTCCCCGGAGGTCGGGTAGGCGGACTTAAGAGGTGTCATCGGCGTCCCGTTACCCGTATGTTGGTTGCCCGATGGGTCCGGGCTGGCGTGCTGCGGTCGGGCGCACTCTCTTCTTTCTCTCTGACTCTGAGGAGTAGATTCTGGTATTATTGAGCCAATATCGTTCGGTAGCCCCCTTGCAAGCTACCTAGTCCAAAAAGTTCTGAAGTCATGGATTCGATCGGCACTTGGAGCGGACACTTGGTGCGCAAGCTTCCCGGCCGGGGCGCGCGTTGTGGGGGGAACATGTCATTGGTCTCGCGGAGTGCAAGTCAACAGGGGGATGACGTAGTGGCGCGGCCGACCGTAAGGTCCCCTACCTGCTGTGGTACAGGCTAACAAACTCTTAGACCGCAGCTTCGCTATCGCAAAACTTGCGATTCGCCGCGAGTCTGGCCGGATTAAGCGCCTACCCCTAGAGGGAAATTATCGGGGCTTCCAGCTCGCCTGATGCGATCAATTGCTGTTTCTCTGATTTGAGTTTATATCTTTTTTTCTTCCTTGTTACTGGTACTGCATTCGGTGAAGCAGGGTCAGAATGGAATCAATGAATCGGCCACACGTTCATTCTCTGAGTCTTCCACACCACCTATATTAGTTGCTGACGGATGGGCAACTCTCATTAATACCCTGCCTGAAGGTCAAGGAAAGCCTTGAACTCATTTGTGCATGTTCAGCCTTGGCAGCCACATCTTTCGGAGAGACGGGGAACAACCATGTCCGCGAACCAACGACTGACAACACCACCATCTCGGATCCATCCGAGTTGGGCATGTGTTCTGCTGCACCGCCGCAATGTCTAGGTGCTTCCCCAATACAAAGTGCTCGCTCGTACGGACACAACAGCACTAGGAAATATGGCGGGTTCGGGGACCGCTCCATAGTAAATTCCGCTCCGCGCCCAGCGCCCATGTAACTCAAACGATTGTCGCGCCGCATATGACGATGGCGCAAGGAGCGCAAGGTACGACAGCGGAAAGAACACTGCCAACTCAGATCTGGTGATGTTGGGTAATGATATGGTTTTGCGCAGTAAGACGTTCGGTGGAACATTGAAGACCTTGAGGGACTTTTGCACTGTTGATTGGTATTGTGGAGGTTTCCTCCGGCTGACATACTTGCCTTCTGTCATCCGAAGTCTGCTGCAATCCAATACAGTCGAAATGCACACACAGAGCTTCAGGGTCGAGTCGCGAATGCTGCCGCAAAAAGCATAGTGATGCAAAACTAGAATCAACCAACCAATCGGCCCCGGTTTTAAGCCCGGGAGGGGCGTACCTTCCGGGATGTGGCTTGATCCTAGCTGTGGCACCGATAGCCAATCATCATCCGGTGCGTCCGACGAGGCTACTATTGCCTACTGACTTCAGCCGTCGCCTCGTCCCTCCATCAACTCCAAGACTACATTGCGGCGACATCAGTCACGGCCGTACACGATGTCGGCATCACCACTCGTCGTCCGTCCCGCCGACGCGTTGAAGCCAGCGGGGGCTGTCGGCTCGCCATTCCGTAATTTGTCATCGGCTCAGGTTTCCTCAGGAAATGGCACCCCGCAGCCATCCAAGGACAAGAAGGCCGCGCCCATCCCGACGACAGCCCCGACTCTGGATCTCGCCGAGCAAATGAACGAGGTCGAGAAGAAGCAATATGTGAAAGGTTAGTAGAGGGATCACGAACGGACTAGATGGCGCGATAGAAATGGACCTCTCTGACAAGCTCTACCTACAGGAAAGAAACTCGGAGAAGGTACCTACGCCATCGTCTTCCTCGGCCACCTCCGATCGAATACATCCTCCCTCGTCGCCATCAAGAAGATCAAGGTCCAGAAAGAATACCAAGAAGGCATGGCACCCGACGCCGTCCGCGAACTGAAGCACCTTCAAGAGCTCCAGCACCCTAACATCATCTCCCTCCTCTCCGTCTTCTCCTCCAAGGACCAGAACCTCAACCTCGTCCTCGAATACCTGCCCTTGGGTGACCTCGAGATGCTCATCAAGGACACGGCAAACGTCCGCTACGGTGCCGCAGATATCAAGGCCTGGATGGGCATGCTCACCCGCGGCGTCTGGTTCTGCCACGAAAACTTTGTCCTGCATCGCGATATCAAGCCCAACAATTTGCTGATCGCCGCCGACGGCGAGGTGAAGCTTGCCGATTTCGGTCTTGCGCGGAGCTTTGCGGACCCGTACCAGGTCATGACGAACCAGGTTATCACGCGCTGGTACCGCCCGCCTGAATTGCTCTTTGGCGCGAAGCACTACAGCGGCGCCGTCGATGTCTGGAGTGTTGGATGCGTTTTTGCGGAACTCATTATTCGTGCGCCGTACATGCCGTCCGAGACCGAGGTTCAACAGATTTCCCTCATTTGCCGTGCCGTCGGTACACCGACGGAGGAGAATTGGCCCGGAGTGACCAAGCTTCCAGCCTACACGGTGCCGGATGATGCCGAGCCCGTCAAGGGCAGGGATTTCTACCAGGCCATGTTCGGCACCGTGGGTCCTGAGGGTGTCGATCTCCTAATGAAGACATTCATTCTTGATCCCAAGAAGCGCATTACCGCACGAGACATGCTGAACCACAACTGGTGGCGCACGGAGCCGAAACCTTCACGCAAGGAGGACCTCCCCAAGAAAGGCGGCGGCGAAGAAAAGATGGGCGCGGACCTGAAGCGACGTCCAGGCATGGTTGATGAGGATAGGGGTGCCAAGGTGGCTCGCAAGCTCAACTTTGGAGCTTAAATCTGCACTTCCACATGGTTTTACGAATTCTTTCCACACTCGCAAATAAAAAAGTATGTAGCATCACGGGCGTTATGGCAGAGGCAAACGGGTTAAGGGTAGGGGGGTATATTCTTTTAAGGATAGGACAGGCTATTTAAAGGGGCTTTTCTTCCCAACGGTTCTGGGAAGATCTAGTTTTTGTACTCCACAAAACATCCAGGCTCTTCCTTTTTGCTCATCACTTGCATCGTCCAGTTTCTTGGCTCTCTATCTTTAGGAACTTTTCACATCAACGAGCACTCCATCCCGTACATGGCCCTCTCGACATCTTTCCTGACCTGATACCAATCCGCCCGGCGCTGGGCGAATTCGTAGGCCTCTTCGGCACGGAACACGCCTTCGAAGCGGTCTCCGTCAGCAATGATGGTGGCCATCTCCTTTGCGTGACGCGGGTCGATGAGGTAAATCTGGCTCAGCTCCCTCAGCGCCTTGAAATACGCCAACAGGTCCTGGTTCTTGAGGGTGCGAATATACTCAAAGTAGAGGTTCATGTCGGCGATGAGCTTGATGGCGCCCTCGGTGCTGACGCGCTGGCGCTTGAGGTGCTTGCACACGGCCGTGAAGAGGCGCAGGCCGACCTCGCCGTTGAAGACGTCGAGCATGGACTTGTCGGTGCTGCCGACCAGCATGCGCGTGTGCGCCGAGACGAGCTCCTTGATGCGCTGCGCCGTCGGCGTCGGGCCCGGGTCCGCGAGAATGCCGCCCGTCTCGGTCGGGTTGTAGTCCGTCGGCTGCTGTGTCGTGCCGTGGAGGTACTCGACCTCGTCCATGAGCACGTCGATGCCCTTGTTCAGCCCCGCCGCGACGCTCTCGTCGAGCATCTGCTCCCACTTCTTCTTAGCGATGCCCGACGGGTCGAGAAAGTCGTTCTTGTCGGCAATCTTGGGTCCCGCGAGCTGCTGCTCGAAGAAGACGTCAATCATCTGGGAGATGAGGTCACCCACGTTGACGAGCTCGATAAAGGTTACCAGGGGCGCCACGCCGGACTGGTTGTGGTCGCTGACTTCTCGGGGATTGTAGTGCGAGAGGTGGTCCACGGCCTTGTCAAAGCCAGGCTTGACGTGCCTGTTTCCAAGGATGCGAAGCATCACGACGAATATCGTCTCGCACTGTTCCCGCGCCTCTTCGCCATATTGGCCTCCCAGCTTGATGAAGCTAGATGCCCGCGCCATGCTCGTCTTGGCGACGTGGGTCAGGTTGAGCGCCACTTCGATACTGAAGAGTGTCTTGATACCCTCCATGCGCGACGCCATTAGGGCTGCCTTGGCCGCCAATTCGTCAGTCGGTGCCTTCTCGGGCAGTGGACTCAGCCGTCCGTTCCCATCTACGCCGGGAGCCAGACTGGGCGTATGCGGCCTCGATGGTTCTGGTGAAAGAGCAGCAGTGCCGTTTGGCGTCACGGGTTTCGTCGAGGTTCCAAATGAGGGCAGCACAGTGACCGGCATCATGACGACCTTTTTGAATGAACTCAAAAAGTCCTTCTTATCCGCTTGCCTGTTGAAGTTGCTCATGTAGAACGACTCGACCGAGGCGTCTTGCTCCGACAGCTTCTTCTCCCACTCTGCCACCTCTGATTCGGCGTGCTGCGTAAAGAAGTCGAGCTCCTCTTGTAGGTAGAGGTCGAGATGCGGCTCAAAGACTCGTAGCATCATTTCTTTTGCCTTCTCCTCCAGACTTCCCTTGAAAGCTTGCGGTGTTGTCAGCGACTGAAAGAAAAGCATGCCCTGCTCAAAGACCCCCGCCACGGCCTTGAGATACGCCTGCAGGTTCCGGTCATGTGCAGCGTCGAAAAGGGGCGTGACATAATCCATGATGATATCCTCCCTGACTTTTTCTATCAACTCCCAAAACACAATGTCGGGGTTCGCAAACACCCGCTCTATAACTTCCGCCTGTTCGTTCATCTTTCGTAATAGGATCTCGAAGAACATTCGCGACGGCTCCAGGTTGATGTCGTCTGGATTGGCCCGATTGATGCAGTCCACTGCGTTTGCCCTCAAGACGTCCTCATCGCTGAAAATGGGGTGCTTTTGCACAAAGAGCTCTGTTCCCGCATTGCCGCCGTTCAGCGCGTGCAACACATGGGCATACCGTTTCATCCTGTTGTCGACGTCCCAAGACTCATAACCCTGTTCGAATTCTCGTAGTACAGCGCTTTCAAAAATACTCGTCATAGTCATTAGTCGTTCCTCCCTCTGATTCCAGCCTTGCGCCCAGTCGCTCTTTGCAAATGTCTGCAGATTCGAGAGCATCTTGGCTTGTCGTTCGGGGTCTCTGAAGACTTGGAAGACGATGGGATCCGTATGGCTCTTTGCCCTTGCCAGGTCAAAGTAGAAAGGTGCCAATGCGCCGTAAATCTTCCCGTACTCTTCTCTCGCGTGTCCCCTTACACTTTTGGCACTCTTGATCACGTCTAATAGTGCTTCTGGGTCTTTGAAAGGGTCCTTCGGCGCCGAAGCTCCCACCGTCATCTTTTCGAATCCGTCGATGGGTGGTGCGACAGACTGGCGCTTCCGCCGCTCTTCTTCTAGTGTGGCATCGAACAACGTGGTACTCGTGGGTTTCGGCGCCATGTGGTTCGCTGGGGCGCCTGGCTGATTGTTGGCTGCATTCGCTGCACGTTCTGCCGCCTCTCGTCTCCTCCGCACGGCTTCTTCGAAACGGCGTCTAGCCTCTTGCTCATCCCAGCATCCCATGCTCTTCAATCGAGTGACCCATCTTGTATCATCGTATACCATTTCCTGCATTCGTCGGGAAGCTCGAGCGACCTGCATCAGGTCTGCCACGGGGAGGTAGTCTAATATGGCGACAAGGATTTCTACCCATTGTCAGCTTTCCTGCGATTCTTTCGTCGGGAAGGGGGAGCGAACCTGCTGGGAGCGTCGGCCTCGAATCCAGCATCTCAGTCGCCTTCAAGGCGCCGAGGATGCCGCCCCCCTGAGGGGCAGTCCCTCGAGACCTATACATGCTGGCGTAAAGGGTATAGCTGGTGCATCTGGAGTGCAGTCCTGGTCGCGTGTAGCCTCGAGGCGGTTGTCAGGCTTTTCAAAGCATGATCAGGCTACCTAATTGTAGCTGGGAAGTTCAGGCGGGGTTGCTGATGTTGTGGTTGGAATGCTGTACAATGGTTTCGATGCTGGTTGCCTGTCTGTCAGCCTGGGGTTCAGTTATGACCTAATTATCTCCAACAAGGTCCCCGCAGCACCTGGCGCCAGTTGTGGTGGGCCCCTGAGCCACGAAACCCCTAAATGCTTGAGGTAAGGTACTTTACTTTAAACTTACCTCAGTTACTCAACCTCTGGGGTTCTTTAAGGCTAAAAGACGGGCCTTATATGGCCTATTTGATACAGCTTGGCTCAGATTTGGAAAGCTGGTGATCACTCAATTTAGAGCTCTTAGGTCATTGGGTGTTAGGTGTTGAAAGTGAATTGTGTTGTAATCTACCTAGCCTAGTAGTGGGCCACACCGCGACGTCCATCCTCAAACATACCTATAGAATCCCTACCCACAAATGGGTGCCGGTACCACCATTGCCCCCCATGCCCAAGTCTACCAAACGCCATATAATCTGCGTTGCCTCGTTATTCCCAGTATCAAACAGTACACTTCCTTACTAACTGCTGCGTAGATTGACGGACTGTCTAGTCCTCGGCAACAATCTCCTCCGCAACGCTTGATGTAATTCGCCGGGACACACGCCCAAATAGACACTCCCAGAGGTCGTCAGTGGCAACCGCCTCGCCTGCATTCTTATCCCTGCTCATCAGTTGGTTGAGACGAGCTTGCTCTAGCTCTAAAGTGTTCGCAGCCTCTAGAGTAGGCTCTTGGACCTCGGGAGTGGACTCCTTGGACTTTCCTTTGGAATTCTGACCCATGTGTTCCATGCGTTGCTTGACCGACAGGTTGTAGATCGATTCCTCTACAGAGCCCTCAATCAAATATAACCAAACGGTTGTCTCGTTCTTCTGACCAATGCGGTCTACACGAGCAATCGCCTGCAATTCAAGCGCGGTATTCAGTAGCGGCTCACACAAGAAGACGTGGCTGGCGTTAACGAGGTTGAGCCCACTCGAATTTGCCCGGCCATGAAGCATGAAACACTCAATGCTAGCATCTTTCTGGAACTTCATAATACCATTGGGCCTGTCGATTGCGGAGAAGCCGATCTGATAGCGGCTAAATGCTTCGCCCAAGATTGCCAGGAAACTTTTGTATCTACAAAACGAATTGTTAGTGGACAAATCCAAAGGGGGTTCATGACACTGGACTTACTGGGTGAAGATGACAGACTTGGCACCAGGATCAGATTCCCTCAGCCATAGTATATGTCTGACAATCGAGTCGACCTTTGTCCCAAAGGACATCCTCAATAACTCAATGTCATTGATTTGAGCAAGTTTCTCGGTGCTGAAACGGGAGTAGATGCCATTTGTTTTGGCAGCCTCATCTTCCTTCACTCCAGGCGAGGCAGAAACTGGGGTCTCATCGTGTAACTTCAACTCTCTTGGCTTGAGAGTAATATCATGGAGTTCGGTGAGTCGAAGCTTCCTCTTGCACATAGGGCAATTATGATGAGCCTTGTGCCAATGCTTCATACAGTCTTTGCAGAACTGATGGCCGCACACTGTCAGAACTCCAATGGTGAAGTGTGACTGGCAAATAATGCACATCCGGGGCTCGTTAGACTTTCCGCCGTCCATTTTGAGATTCAGCACTAGAAGACACATTGTTAGTGTGAATCAAGGTAAATGCATCGGGAAGAACTCACGATATCTATGCTTCGCCTTTGAAGAATCCAGCTTTCTACGGTAATTATTCTCGCTCGCGATGCAGGAAGCCACGGCCGGTCCATCATCAGGGCCTTCATAGGGGGCAACACTGTCTGACACTGCCTGGAGTTGTCGATAGTACTCAACCCTGGCATTCATGGCACTTGTGAAGCGGTCGGTCTCTCGTTC